TGCAGATGAGATTTAAGAGTTGAGGATCTGAGGGAAAACTGGTAGTTGAAGCCATGGGGTGAATAAGATTTCTTAGATTAGGGTTGGGGCTGCAGAGCAATTGTAGACCCCATTCTCCTGTGTGAATGGGGTTCTGATAGTATGGTCAGGGCCAGCTTGGGAATTGAGTGGCATTCATCTTACGGTTGGAAATCTATGGAACAGAGGCAGGGATTGACATATTCAGTTTTAAATGTTCCTTCTTGTGTCCTCAGAGATCCAGTAAACTAGCACTTACTTGGAATTCCTGGTCCCGACCTCTCCAGCTATTCAGCTCGATCCTTGGCATGGTGTCTCAAGGCACTTACACATGCATCCATGCTTATGTGCACACCATTTTGGGTTACACTCCATTCTGACTTCAGGAGCAATGTGCCAGCAATGTGCCAGCAATGTGATGTGCAGTGATGAGCACTTACAGGCTCCATCACAGTTGAACATACTGCTGCAGTTTCTGCCCATTCTGCCCTGTTCACACTTACCATCTCACACCTAGATATCTGTGCTTGCCTAGCTCTGGGTCCATAGCTTCACAGAAGTGAGCAGACTGTTCTTGACAGTTGCAATATACATTTCTTGAATATTTGATATATACCAGGTATTAAACTGTTCATTTAGAATAAAATGTCATTTAACCCTCAGACAACTCCATAAGGAAGTTACTGTTACTCTAGCTTTACTTATGAGGAGTTTCAGTTTGAAACTCATGAGCTGAGTAATTTGCCTGTGGTCATATAGCTAGGAAGTGGTAGAGCCTGGATTATAACCTAGGACTGTCTCCAAAATCCATGCCTTTAACTCTCATGCAGTTAAAAAAAAACAAGTGTTTCTGAGATGTATTCCTTATTCTTTGGAGCATGAATTTATGTATATGTCATGGAAGAAGCTGAGAATTGACTAACTTCTATTAATAATTGATTAAGAGAGTCTAATGGTTTGCTTGCTCAAATGGCTAATCTCATTAACAGAGAACAGAGAGCTGGGGTAGGGGGTTATTCTTGGTAATTATATAATGAGCAAAACCCCAAACTTAACCCTGTCTCTTAAAAATAAATAAAAATTTAAAAACCTCTATAACACTTTTGTGTAGCACATCTCTCCCTTGCTAATTTTATATATCCTAGAAAGGCTAGGAACTATGATTTCCCAAGTAGAGCCTCAGTAGGGAGCAGAGCAGCAAGGTAGTGAGGTCAAGTACACAGTGTGTCCTGGGAACAGTGCCTGTGTTTGGCGACCCAACCTCAACCACTGCTAATTGCAGTTACTTTTACCTCTTGGTTCCATTTTTGTCACCTGAGAAATTGGAGTGGGAATAAGGATTTGAAGAATTACAAGGCTAAAAATTAGTGCAAAAATTAACGCATTATAATTTAAGGAGAAACTATAAAGAAACTTGCTTTCCTGATCCAGCCATGTGAGTCAGGGAGATAGAATTAGCCACATAAACATTTGGGGGTGGTGAAGGGAAGCGTAGGAACTGAGTTTCCAGATGGAATTATTTGCCCCTTAACGGGGCTGATCTACATAATGAGGCTATAATCAAAACTGCTGGTGGTGATGTAGAGGGGAGGGGATGGTCACTGAGATTTAGGAGTTTCAGAATGGGAAGTGAGAAGAAGGGCAGGAAAGGTGTGGGAGGATTAGTGTTTGAGAGCTACCCTTTACCTATCACAGTGCTGGCACCTCTATTGAGTCTACAGTCTGAATGCGCCCAATGAAATAACATGTGCTAATGACCCTGGAAGAGGCATTATGACACTCATTTTATTAAAATTTTTTTTGATTATTTATTTTTTGATGTTCCATATGTACATACATTATACCCCAGTTTGGTTCATCTTCTCCATTATTCTCCCTCCTACCCCATTCTCCTTCTTAAAATAACTTCATCAGGTTTCAATGTTCCATATTCATACATGTAAAGAAAGTACATCAACCATATTCACCCTCCTTTACCTTTTTCATTTACCCTCCCCCTCCCACTGATACTCTCCCTTTAACATGACCTGCTTTACATTCCTGTCCTTTCTTGTTTGTTCATTGTTCAGTGGGAATTTTGCCTTGGTATTTTACTTGTAAATATATTGTGCTTAAATCAGTCTAACTCTCTCTGTTGTTCTTCCTCCCCCTTTTCCTCCTATCCTGCATTGCTCAACAGTTTTTCCGTGTGCTGTATTCTGTCTTGTTCCTAAACAAATGTGATATAATTCATTATTACTTACTCTCTCATTCTTTTCTTCTTTTTCCTTCTTTATTCTCCTCTATTAGTCCCACTTTCAGAAACATATTCTGTATATATTTGTATGTATATGTGATAGTGCCTGTATTTGTATTGGATCTATCCTCCACATGTGAGTGAAAATACATGACCTTTGTCTTTCTAAACCTGGCTAACTTCACTTAAGATGGTGTTTTCCAATTCCATCCATTTACTTGCGAATGACAGAATTTTGTTCTTTATGACTGAATGAAATTCCATTGTATATGAATACATTTTCTTATCCAGTCATCAGTTGTGTGGCATCTGGGCTGTTTCTATAACTTGGCTATTGTAAATAATGCTGCAATAAATATGGGTCTTTATTGTAACCTGACTTACACCCCTTTGGGTATATGCCTAAGAGTGGTATTGCTGGATCATCTGGCAGTTCTATTTTTAGCTTTTTAAGGATCCTCCATACTGCTTTCCATAGTGGTTGTACTAATTTACAATCCCACCAGCAGTGTATGAGGATTCCTTTTCCCTCACCAACATTTGTTGTTGTTTGTGTTCTTGATCATAGTCATTCTAACAAAAATGAGGTGGAATCTTAGTGTGGTTTTGATTTGCATTTCCTTTATGGCCAGGGATGTTGTGCATTTCTTCATGCGTTTTTTTGGCCATTTGTACTTTTTTCTTTGAAAAAGCTCTGTTCGGTTATAACATTCATTTTCTAGTTGAGGAAAATGAGTCTCAGATTGCTGAATAGACTTCTTTAAGGCCTCCCCACTAGTATTTGCCAGATGATATTCAAAGCCCTGCCTATTTGGTGCCAATGCTATTTTACTATACTATGCTATCTATGACTCATTTACCAGTCTCCTCTGCAAACTCCTAGAAATTCTCATGTTAATAGTCATTCATTTGCTCACTCATTCCTTTATTTATTCATAGGTAGCTGTTGAGCACATGGCAGGTCCAAAACACTCTCGATTGCTTTTTTTTGTGTTCACTTCCAAATTCCATAGAATGCAGAAACCTTTTTGTCCTAACAGGAATTAGAACCTGGTGTTTCACTGTGTCTTTCACTGAAGAGGCACTGGTTTGGAAATCAGGAGACATGAGTATAAATATGGTATTTTGCCCCTGTCAAGGGTGCTTTGTAAAGTAAGTGTGTGTTTGAACTGCAAGGGTCAGTTTGCTTTGCAGGATGTCACTGGGAGCATAAGACAGTAATCACCCAGTGGAAAGTAGTCCTTTTTCACCTGTCTTTAGGCCATGCTGTAGTTCTAGGGTAAAACCTTCTGCCTTTCATCATAATTTTATATCTGCTTCAAATAGAAGTTTCTAAGCTAGAAGCTCTTTATTCTCTCATTCAATTGAGGAATTATAGTCTCATTGCTTCAAATTTCTAGAACTTATCATTGAGTTCACATAGGCCCTTTGTCTCTCAAACTCCCTTGGTCTCTCCTTCACTGAAATTTCCCTCTCTTTCTTGGTCACCAATCCTTAGGTTGGATCTTTATCGCCACTTAAATTTCTCTTCTAATTTTTAGACTCTTTTTTTTTCTTTTGATTACCGTTCAAAGCTTTTGAATTTAGTTTACTGCTTTTGACTTGAAATCCTCCATTTCTCACAAAGACTATTTTCTCCATTATTTTTGTCTCCTTTGCTTAGTCCATCAGCTGGAAGGGAGGTCACTTCCTCTTGAAGTCATACTTTTGACCTTATTGTCATCTATTTATCAAATATTTGAGTACCTATGGGATTTTTAAGTGAGGACAGCAAGAGAGGATATGTTCTCTACCCGAAAAGGCATGAAAATGAACACTTGCAAAGTTATTATAATAAATGTTTAGAAGAGATTGCTGTTATACTGCTGGCAAAGAGGAGGAAGTGACAGACTTGATTGATTGGTCAAAGTGGCTTTACTGGGGAGAGATTTGTAGGGGGGTGATGGAGGGGGTGATCTAACCAACATACAATGTAAGGCTATTTGGAAGTGCCACAATGAATCCTCCCTGTACAATGAATATATCCTAAACTTAAAAAAAAAACAATAAAAGCTATTAACTACAAAAAAAAGTGACTTTACAAGAAACCTTTGGATTGGGTTTTGAAAGACAGATAAGTGTTTCCCAAGAAAACAAGTGAGAAGAAGCATTCCAGAAACAGGCAACATCATTACAAAGGCCTAGTTCTTTAATATTCTTGATGTGTGGTGCTCAAATAGTGGTGCTTCAAAGAGGGGAGGCTTAAGGTAAGAAACTAGATGATGGAGCATTTGGATGCCTTGCCAAAGACTTGGGTTTTATCCTTAAGGTCATGGTGGATGAGTGAAGGGTTTTTAAGAAAGAGCCATAACAGTCAGAGTTAGAAAGATCACCTAAACTATAGCAAGGAGAATGTACTAGCTGCCAACAGACTGAATACAGAGAGATCACACAAGAGAGTATATATATATATATATATATATATATATATATATATATATATATGAAACAAATAGAGAGGGCCAAATAAGAACAATGGTAGTGAAGCTAACAAGAGAAGAAATATAAAAGGTGTTAAAAGACCAAGTTGACTTTACTTACTAACTGATTGCATATTGGGACAAGGCAGGCAGGTGGACATTGATATCATTTGTTGCAACAGAGAAGACATGAGAGGAGGAACAGGTTAGGGAAGTGAACTAGGAAAACCTGCGTGCAGGGTGGGAGGTGAGGTCCATGATATGGATGTGTTCATTCTGTTTTTCAGCCATGGTTGAAGGTCTTCAGGTCACAGTGCCTGACAAGAAGAAAGTGGCCATGCTTTTCCAGCCCACTGTGCTTCGCTGCCACTTCTCCACATCCTCCCATCAGCCTGCAGTTGTGCAGTGGAAGTTCAAGTCCTACTGCCAGGATCGCATGGGGGAATCCTTGGGCATGTCTTCTCCCCGGGCTCAAGCTCTCAGCAAGAGAAACCTGGAATGGGATCCCTACTTGGATTGTTTAGACAGTAGAAGGACCGTTCGAGTGGTGGCTTCAAAACAGGGCTCAACTGTTACGCTAGGAGATTTCTACAGAGGCAGAGAGATTACAATTGGTCATGGTACTAATGTCCTTGTTTTAAATCTAGGGAATGGGAGGGTGGTTAGTTCCTTTCTTTCCAGACACAGAGATTTGGGTCAGTCATCCCTTTAATCCCTCCCTAACCCAGTTTGATGGAAGATGGGTGTATCAAGAGACATAGCAAATTTCTTTGATGGAATGGCAAGGGGAGGAAGGGTGGACAGTGTAGTATCCAGGGAAAACAGAAATGAACTTTGGAATAGTCTTTCCAGAGCCTGACCTTGTGTCTCAGAGATTGTTTTCAGAACTTGAATTGAAACGGGGTCTAGTGAAAAAACTTCAGTCAAACATCCTACACCTTGACACTGCCTTTATGGCCCTTCCCCAAACATGAAAAGCAGACTTTCCCAAGAAGTTTCTCTTCTGGGAAAAGGGATGTGTGTACACAAGCTTTAGAGCCTCTGGGGCACTGTATCAATTCCACCTTCTCTTCTGCTCCCTAACATTTTTAGATAAGGAAAGGTCCTAGGAATCTGATATAACTTGCTCGATTTTTCAAAATTTGAATTCCTGTGAAATCAGCTTATTTCTGGAAGTCCAGAATTATTATATCTGGCTCTCAGGGTCTCTGTAGGCCTAGTTCAAAGTCCTCATAGACTCCTGAAACTGGGCTAGAACTAGACCAGTTTGTGGCTATGGTCTAATTCTCTTGCCTTAGGGATGCTGGTTTTTGTTATTATTTTGTTTGAAATAAAGCGGACATCTGAAAACCACTATCCAGGTAAAGAAACAGCACTGCAAACATCCAGGAAGGGTTCTCCCCTCCCAATCCCCATTGTTCAGTGCTTTTCTTTCAGAGGACAGAGTTTTAGAACTGGGTCCTTCTTTTTGTGATAAAAGATGCAGATCTTCAGATTGGAAAACTCATGTGGGGAGACAGTGGACTCTATTACTGTATCATCACTACCCCTGATGACCTGGAGGGCAAAAACGAGGACTCCGTGGAACTGCTGGTGTTGGGTAAGTGAAAAGCAGAGGCAATGTTTTCATCTTAGGCTGCTTGTATCATGACTCTCTTCCCTATGTGTACAGCAGATCATATACAGTCTTTATCTTTTGCACAGACAAAATTCTGCTTTAGAACATGCTCTTTTTGAACAGTAGCTGTGTTTATTATGTCTTTCTTCTTGAAGGCTTGGGCCCCCTTTTGAGCATTGTCTCCAGTTTTTCTGCTTTCTTAGTTTTCCCCCCTCTTTCCACTTTCACCTTTAATCCTGATTTCCCTCTTATTCTTTACTTGTCTTTTAATATGCTAATTGTTTAAGAAAATTTCAGAGGCCCTTGAAGTAGTTTAGAGACTAGAGAGATAAGAATTCATTAGTGTGTAACCATCTCCAGAGACCTCAGGAATCTCTATCACTCAATTACCTCCACTTAAGACAATCATAAGGCCATATGGCTGTAAACTGGAGTCCAGTTATAAAAGGCACCCAATGAAAAGAACTGTTTAGATGTTTTAGTGTTTAATTGGAAGTATCTGAGTTATTTTCAAAGCAAATAAATCTAATCCTTATCAATATTAATTTCTTCATAACTGAAAATGCCTTACTTCTGGCTACTTTTCCTCTTCTGTGAATTGGAGGAATGTTAGTGGGAAAGTCCCTCCTTGTATGTAACTGAAGATTGAGTGCATATTTTATGCGCTGCAAATATTGCTTGAATAAAATCAAATGGAACAAAATATACGGAAATTAAGAAAAGACTTTTCATCAGTTGTAGGAGAAGAAGTTGTTTAGGATATACACTTGAAACCATTTTTCAAAAGAAATTGCACTTTTTGTAGTTTCCCAAAAAACAGGTGACAGTAATTTTGGGAATATGTAAGGGTGCTTTGGTTTAGAAGAAAATAAAGTTGAAGGTTGATTTTTTTACCGCTTTGTGAGAAACTCAATCCCCAGGGATAAAGTGACATTTTCTATTTAGAATTTTTAGTTTTAGTTTTTGTCACGACATTGGCAAAATAACTATACTTTAGACTAATATTTTATAGATTTGACTAAAGTAACGCTGTTCTACTTTACTAGAAAGTTGACTTAAACATAATCTTTGGGTCCAGGATAACTGTTGGTACTTGTAGAAGCATGGAAATATGACACATATTCAAAAGTAAATAAAAAAGTAAAAGTCTTATATTGACATTGTGAAAGAATATGGGGAGATCATATTTGAGATCTGCTGTGGCTCTGCAAATCAGAGGGAATCAAAAAGATAATTTTTGCTTAATCACACAACTCTAATAGCCAAGTTTGCAGGAACAAGTGGCTCATTGAGCCTGCAATTAGCTAATTGTGAACACAGCTATTTGGCTGGGGCAGCCATTTTCAGAGAACTAATTGTGCAGGAAAAGGAGGCCAGGTAAAAGCCACTTTAAATAATTTGGTCTAGTTGTTCTGCAAATGTTGGGGAAATGAATAGAGTGAAAGCTTTCTCGTGTAAAGATGTGCTGAAGTGTATAGTGGTCATTCCTCTGGATCAAAACATACAATTCAGCTTGGGATAAGGATGCCAAAAGGGGTCAGCAGCTGGTAGGTAAAAGGAAAGCCCAGAAGACAATGGCTAGTGATGGGAGGAAATATGAAGAATAGAAGTTAGTATTGTTCTGAAAAGGATTGTGAAGGAAAACTGAGGAGGCTGCAAATCAAAACTCATTGTAGTAAAAGCAGCACATCTAAACAGGCACATGCAAGGATTCTGAAGAAGGAAAAGCACATAATTCTGCTGTGTTCCACATTAATTAAAAAGTTTAAAATACGATGAATTTGTCAGGAAACTTTTTAGGGAAACACTAGTGTTATTTATTTAAAGGGATTAGCTTGAAAATCTATGAACATTTTCTGGCTATACAAAGTGACCCCTTTATAAAAATTTTCAAAATACTATCACAGTTTAAAAATTCTAATTGTTTGGTTGTTATATTCTGTAGGTCTCTTTGTTGGGTGTTGCTTTTTAAATGTGAGACTGGGAGAGCAACCTGATTTCTGAGGTCACTCCTCCATCCCCCAAGAAATGGAGACATCAAAAGAAAGATAACTGGGATCTGTAGTTTGCTAGTTACAACATTCATGAGCCACTGGTTCATCACTGAATTTTTTTTATGAGGAATGATTGGAGGATTTGTTCTAGTGAAAAAAGACTTAGAATTGGTTCTCTGTTCTTTAGGTATTTGAAGGTTCTCTGTTCTTCAGGTATGTTCCAATCCCCAATCCTAAGGATTGGAACATACTCTGTCTGAGTGGGTAAAACTGAATCATGATTGGAAGTTACAGGGGAGGGTCTGTCTCAGTGTTAAGGAAGAACTGTTAACAACTGGAGACATGTAAAGGTGGAATGAGTATCCTCAGGGGAGGACTAAACTACTTTTTTGCTTTATTTCAATTCTAAAATTATTGAATTAAAAGTAGATGCACAGGAGTGGTGATGAATAAGAAAATGACCTCCCAGGAATTCAGTCCTCATCACAGAGATAAACAAGATTACAGGTTGGTTACTGGCACATACAGATGATGCTCTTATACAGGAAGCCAGAGGGAAGAAACCGTGGTCTTATTTAGTAGGTCAGGGCTAATAGGACCAATCTCACAAGAGTGAAGCAAAGAAATCTCGATGGTATTTTGAATGGGTTAAGCCACTTTCATTCTTCTTGGAGATGATCTCAAAATAGGGAGCAGAAAACTGTTGAAATTCCAGATGAATTAGTAAGGGAAGATGAGTTAAAGAGATAAATTAGAAGCAAAGCTAAGATGAATTTAGTTTCTGCATTATACTCACAAAGGTAAGGATGAAAAACTTAATGGGGCAAGATTATGAAGTGTTGTATATGTAAGACTGAGAAGTTTGGAATTTATCCTGAAGACTCTGGGGAAGCTAGTGAAGAAACCTTAACAGAGGAATGAGATTATACTTCATGTCTGAGCAGTAATTAGCAGTAGAGCAGATGCTGCATCAGAGAGAGGAGAGCTAGAGCAAAGGGATTGGATTTGGACATTGGAGAGAGGCTGCTGCAGCAGCACAGGTAAAAGATATGAGATTCTGAACCAGGATAGGGGGTCAAGAACAGCATAGAACATTTCTGAGATGGAAGCAATGGATCTTGATGACTAATGTGTAAAAGGAAATGAGAGAGAGGGATGAATCAAACAGGATATCATGATTTCTAACTAGCTCGGTTGCTAGTCATGCCGTCAATTAAGAAAGAGGACACAGGTGGAAAAGAGGTCAGAGAGGCAGGAGAATGAGTTTAGTTTTAGACTTGTCGAATAAAAAGATGCTTGTGAGACACCAAGATGGGGATGTTTTGCTGACAATTAGAAATGTAGGCCTGTAACTCAGCAGGGAATGAAGATTAGAGAGTATAGATTTGAGAATCATGATCATATTAACTCATATTAACATACACTGATGGGCTGATGCAGAGGCTCAAATGGTAGAGTACTTGCCTAGCAAGTGTGAGACCCTGAGTTCAAACCCTAGTGCCACCAAAAAACAAAACAAAAACAAAACCCAAATTAAAACATACACTGATAGTGACTTGTAGTCAATTTTTTTCTAAAATAATATTATTAGCTAAGAGGACAAGCATTATTTCCTTCATTTTCAAAGTAAAGAAGTTAATGCCCTGGTTTTAAGACTATTAGCCCAGTTTTAAAAACTTGTTGATGATCAAACCCAGTTGTTTTGATTCCTGGCCTCATTTCCTTCCACACAATACCACATATCCTGTATGTATTCAAGATGCTATAGGATAAGCTATGTTAAAAAATGTTGGGCCGTAGTCATAATTTCTACTTACCCCAGGTTTCCTTCAGTATTTCTCTTAATCTCTTAGTGAAATGGTCTATAACCATTGACCTAGGCCTTTACTTCAAAGACATAGTTGTTCTTGTCTATGAACACCTCCCCACTGAGCATGAGTCAGATCCTGCCACCCCATGTATCTGAACCATCCACAAACCATTATGGATGCTTCTTTCAGAGGTTTCAGAAATATGTAAAGATGTGTGATTCACAGAAATGGGAGGGCAACCACTGATTCAACATTAAACATGAAAACTATACTGAACACCCTTTAATGTCTGTTTGATGATTCAGAAGGTAAAGTCATTCTGAAGTTGGAAATGCACACAGTGTTTTGGGTGTTTTGAGATGACACTGAAAGGTACCTTAGAAATATTTAGACAGACATTTGTGATCATAGGGCCATACCAGCAGACAGTCACAGAAGGTGGGAGTGTCCAGAAATCTGCCACCCTGAGATTAGACATTGGTCTAGGATCAGTGGCAAGGACAGGCTGTTTATAACCTGGAGCCATGCCACTGTTTGGATAGGAATAAAGTTCCCTGGGGCAGCTCCAGCTGGCAGGAAAAGGACTTCACCATTTCAGGAAAGCTCATGCAGCGAAGTTATTATTTTAAAATCTAAAAGCAGCTCGGCTTGTTCTTACTTCTTTCTATGTACAATATGAGGACCTGACCCCTTCTTTCTGATGTCTCATGTGGTAGCTTGCTTAAAGGCCTTTAATTAGAAAAAAGGGGACAGGGCCTCTGTGGAAATGTAGGTGGGTGAATGACTATTCCTGCCTCTGGCCTGAGAACAGAATAAGAGGCCATGAGCCAAGGGGTGTTTAAATTCAAGCTAAGGAAGGCATTCCTAATGGTAAATAACAATTTTTGGAATTATGGGTAGTTGAGGGAAATTCTAGACACTCCTTCTCTGATGAGCTTTAACATGGAAACAAGTTCTCTTGTCTGAGATATGAGAGTAAACAAGGTGATTTTTCAGAGTCCTTTATTGATTTTTTTTGACTCTATTTCAAAGATCCACGGATTACAGAATTAATTCTCAATAGAGAGTGATGCTTCAAATACTGGTTTTGGTTTTGTCTTAATATTGTATCTATCTTTGGGAAAATGGTACATGCTATTGACCACATTTCAAACAAAATAAAAACAAAAAAGAAGAA